GTTCTGGCTGAGCATAGCTGTTAGCACAGAAGTTTATCTAAATATTCCTAGAAGTGGTTAGGTAAGGAGTTAGAGGTCTATAAAGTTAGTAAGGCTGTAAAAAAGGAGGGGTCTGAGCTAAATTGTGTAAAGCTATTACTTAATGTCTACCTGACCTAGGCGGTGTCCCCTTGTGGAATTTACCTTAAATCAGGAGACTCGCCTGTGGGTTGTTATCACTGTTAATCCTTGGAAATTGGGTGACCACCTGGGTGATGTCTCCTTTAGTCCTTGAAAGTGGCTAGGGGAGATATCTGATTCCAGAGAAAGCCTTTCCTGAGGCTGTTCTCCAAATACCTGGAATGTGTATGTCCAGAGAGTGATTAGTCCACATTGTTAGCCCTTCTTAGGGAAAAATCAATTGGGAAAACTATGAAGGGCACACATGATTTTCATAACAGAATACAGCTGATATATAACAAGCCAAGTAACACCAAAAACTCCTTGGGATTTGGCTTCCTCTGGAGGAATTCCCTGATTCCTCAAAGTAAGGACTTTGCCATAACCAGCTGAGTTCTTATGATATTCCTGCGGCCCGCAGCACCAAGGAGCTAAACCCTAGCCCTCTTCTTAGCCACGCTTAACAGTAAGTTGAGTGACATTAACTGTACCCGCATGTTGTACACCTATCACCAGTCTCCATTTCTAGAAATTTTCCATCATCCCACACTGTCCACTGAACACTAACACCTCATGCACTCTGGGCCTGTAGGCTGTTTAAAACCACTTACTGTACTCTCTGTCTATATAAACTGGACTGTTCGGGGTACCTTACGTAAGTGAAGTCACACAGTATTTTTTCCTTTTGAGTCTGATTTATTTTGCCAGCATTTGTAGTCTCTTCTGAAATGTAGGTTTCCTGGAACTCCATTGTCACCGTCTTGTACAATGGGGTTGGCCACACTAGGTTTATCCTTCACATACAGCTTTCACTTCGCAATCTGCTGTCTCCCTGACTTGGTGGTTAGACCTGGGTCCTCTGTTCCAGCCTCTGTGGTCTCTCCACCTGAGATCCATTAACAGCAATGGACATAGGCAAGTATATACAGATCTAAAGGTCTATGTATGTAAGCTTAATAATAAATTATAAATGGTATAAATTTAGATATATACGGATCTAATCTAAGGTTCTCTTTAGGATTTTTTTTTAATTCTTTATTCCTTTGAGATGCAAGCAAGCCTATTAGAAAGCTAAACAACTTTGACAGCTTTATAACCCAGGACTATTGTTCTTCAGGACCATCCATCTGACAGGCAAACATCAAGGACAAGATACCCAAACCCTTTGTGCTCTGAGGATTTAAATTTAGGGTCCAGCTCCAGGTTGAACCTTCATGCTTGCCTTAGAGATGGGTACACTTTGCTTTCCCTTTGGATAAGGACAGCTAGCATAGATTCCCCTACTACCCAGCAACCAGGGGAATTTAGAATGAACTGTGCATGACAAATTATGCTGCAAAGTCAACCTACTTAAGGGCATGTTACAGTCTGTCTTGAGATCATGCATACAGATCGTGCATGTCTGCCTGATACAAAGGAAGATGGTATTTTCTGTTATAACTATTGACTTAGATTTATAGAAAAAATAACCCATAGGTTAGATTTGTCTCCAAGGCTTAAAACAATAAAGACCTTGAGGGCTGGAAAGATGGTTCATCAGTTAAAAGAACTTGCTACTATTCTAGAAGACCTATAATTTGATTCTCAGCACCCATGTGATGGCTCACAACCTTTTGTAACTCCAATTCCAGGAGATCTTATGACCTTTTCTGGCCTCAGAGGACACCAGGAATGCAGCTGGTGCACAGACATACATGCAGGCAAAACACCCATACACAGAAAATAAAATAAAATTTAAAACAATAGACTTTGAAACCAAGCAATGGCTGAAATTTCAACTCTTTGCCTGAACATCTGCTGACCTAAGTTGCCTTTTTATAACCCAGATCTACATGACATTACTCCCAGGTACCCATTTCTGCTCCTCAGTTCCCTCTAGTACTACCACCTTCTAAGGCAAGCTATTATTCACTCATTTTATCTTTTGAATCACTCCCTGGGATGGGAACCAAAGGGTCAGAATTTGGGGTTCTACAAATAGTGGCTTGAGGGATGATGTTAGGAACAGAGGATTCCCATAACGATTTATAGTGAGCTTTATGAGTTTGGTGCATGACCTTTGGTATAGAAATGCTGCTCCTCTGGGCCTCCTTATTCTCTACCCGGTTGCCACTGCACTCTCAGAGAGTTACTCTTAGCCAAGTAGATTCAGGTTTCAAACCCAACCATAATCAGTCACACCTCAGAATCCTTATGTCCTCACAGAACCACCTATGGGCCAATCAACACGGAGCTTTTGATGATTAGAAAGATATGTGTGAGCCAGTGCCTACTGACCTGCAATCTGGAGCACAAACTCTTTCTTCTGGGCCAACAAGGGGTTCTGGATTGAGCAAGACACATTGCTATGAGTCCCTTCTCGGACAATCACAGATGTGTCCAGACTGAACAGGCCTTGGGCATTCTTGATAATGGCTTCAGACTCTGGAGGAAGGCACTGCCCCTGGTGGTCTCTCCACTGAACCTTTGGCTTGGGGTACCAGCCACTGGATCTGCATCGTAGCTGAATGCCTCCTTCGTTGAAGCCCTCAAGGGAGATGTGTGAGTCTGAGCCCAACCCTAGGAAAGCAGGATTGTGAAAGATCAGGCTCACTCCTAGAAGCTAAGCATAAAGTTCATGCCACCATTCACCATCTGAAGTCACCATAAGATGTCAGGAATTATGACTCTTTTATTATGTATGTGAGCTCACAGCCCTCCAGCTATGAACTGACAAGGACAGTTTAGACTAGACAGGGACATTAGGAAATATTCAGAAGAGGGCTATGTGCATTCAGTTATACTGTGCAATAAGTGATCTCACTACAACGAAGAATCATCTCACCCCAAATCTCAACTGAATATCCTGTTAATTCTCACTAGATCTCAAGTGCCTATGGTATATGCAATCCTTTCCCAGTCTAATAGAGCTGGCTCTGTTATCTATCTAGCTATCATTTGTCATTTAACTATCAATTTATGTGCTAGAGGTCAAACTCAGGTCTTGTTCATCTAGGTAAACATCCTATCAGTGAGCAATATTCCCAGCCATATATTTTAAACTTGCAAAATATTAATATATTTGTGTATGTGTGTACAATATATCCTGAGTCCATCTTTGTTGGTGGTATGTATATGGTTTCAAGGCAGACCACTCTGAATGTCTGTAAAAATAATCCTCAAAGAAAAAGAGGCTATCAACTGAGAGTGGGGGGATGGGAGGGATTGAGAGAGAGTAGCTGGAAAGGGTTGGAGAGAGGAAAGAAGGGGAGAAAAGTGATGCAATTCTATTTTAATCAAAAACACATTCGCATATCAATGTTTAAATACTAATAATGTATAAAATACATACCAGGAAAGCCTCAGGCCTTTCTCCATCATTTTTATTCCTTACATCCTCACTACTTAGGTAATCAAATTCTATTAGCTTCTAGCTAGTACATCTTATATTTCTTTCTGCTGTATTCCCCTTTATTTCTTGTGCACTTTATATACATCATCAAATTTCTTTTTCATGTTGTTTTTCCCTCTTACTAACGGATTCGAGGAATCATTACACATCTATTCACTGAGCTCCTTGTCTTTCTCGCTTCTGAATGTGGACCGTGATGATGGACCACATTCAGCTCCTATGTGTTGGTATTTAGGAAGCTTCAATGCTCACGAAATGCTAGGTGATACTACAAATATTAATCTTGTACAAATGCCTATTATACCTTGATGTCACTTTGAGTCACCTTGTCATTATGGACACTAATTATCTTTTCAGCTGTTTTGAAGTCATTCAGTATTTTTTATGAACGTTTTCTCCCTTTTATTTGCTGCATATAAACTTGTAAGGATTTCTTTTTTTAACTTTTTAAAAACTTTTTTTGTTTTCTTTTCTGGTACCGAGGATTGAACCATGGTCTTGTTTGTGCTAGACAGGCACTAGATAGACCTCTGAGATATTTCTTCATGCCCCATCAATGTTTTAACACATTGTGCTTGTTTGCTCTCAATCCAAGATTCCCCGTGCCATTATGTCTCCTTGAGTATCTGGCAGCTCTATCCAATCCTGCTCCTGGCTGGCTCCAAAACATACCTGCTACTTCCAGCTCCCACGTGGCTTCACCAGAGAAGTTGTCAGAACGAAAGCGGCACCCATATTGGCCCTCGTCAGAGGGAGCCACATTGAGGACATGCAGGGTCACACTGCCATCGGCAATGTCATTAGCTTCGAATATGGTCCTGTTGAGGAACTGTGGCATCTGTGGGCTGGAGAGACCCTGCTGTTCCTGGTACAGGTAAACCACATTTGAGACCTGGGTCCGGAACCAGCGGATCTCCATGTGCTTTGCATCCAGGTACGGTGACAAGTGGCATGGGAACTCCACCGTTTCCCCGACAAGGGCCAAAATGGATTCTCCAGGACCCAGCACCTTGATCTCATCTAGGACAACAATCCAAAACAATGGCCAAGATCAACCCACTTTAAACTTAAGTTTTTAAAATTTGCAAATCAGAAATCTATAGCAAACTATTCAAATGACAACAATGAGTTGCCATCTAACAACAACCTGTGTGGTTTCCTGGAAAAGAAGTTGTCATGAACAAAAAGTCCGAGCATGAGTTAAAATATATATGTACACATGTTCCAACCAAGCACACTGTACAGGACTGGACTGGTTATTGGTTTGAATCAATCGAGAGTAATGCTATTTGGTCAAGGGAGCACACTAAATGCAATGTTTGACAAAAAATAAATAAGCCTATGATATAGAATAGAGAATTGCATATTTGTGTAAGTGACAAAAAGAAAATTATGCCTATGATATAGAATAGAATATATAAATATAGAATGGTGAAAGCACACCAAGAAAAAGATCTTGAAAGAGAGAAGCCATATGGCTGATGATGGTGGCGATTCTGCTCAATGAGAATTGAAAGTCTTATTTTGTTCAGGTCTTAGTTAGAATTTCAATTGCTCGGATAAACGCCATGACCAAAAGCAAACTGAAAAGGAAGGGACGTATTTCATCTTACAGGAAAGTCAGGGCACGAGCTCAAGGCAAGAACCTGGAGGCAGGGACTGAAGCAGAGGTCATGGTGGAGTGCTGCTTACTGTCTTTATTCTCCAGACTTCTCAGCCTCTTCTTATATACCCCAGGATTCCCCCGCCCAGGGTGGCACCACACACAGTGGGCTGGGTCCTCCCCTGTCAATTATTAATTTTAAAATGCCACAGGCTTGCGTGCAGGCCAATCTTATGGAGGCAATTTCTCAAGCGTGCTTCCTTCTACTCATGTATCTCTGACTTGACAATAAACTAGACAGGACAGGCAGTTTTCACAGTGTTTATCAATAGAACACACATCTACAGCTTCTATAAAAACAAAACATATAGAAACATGATCTATGGGTATACTCTGCTCTGTGTGGTTTAGTATTTAAATGCCTGCTGAATTCTGCTGTGGAGAGACCTGTCATGATCTTTCATTTGATCATTTCTCTTCTTTTGTGGAGTCTCCAGGTGGTCTCTCTGCTCTCCTTAAATCAGTCCATTTCCTCCTTTCCAAATTCAGCTAAAACTTCTTCCCCAGACTCCAACTTGCTAGATCTCCCTCTCCATCCTGCACTTTGTCTGTAGATCATATGTCATTTTGGACAAAACCTTTTGCCTCCTGGATGACACCTGGTCAATCCCAATTGCCTTCCTACCAGATTCCCTGTCCAGGGTCTCTTCAACTGTCTTTCTCACACACCTAAGCTCTCTGTCCCCTGCCCCCCTCTCTCCAATCCCAGTTTATCCTCCATCTATTTCCTTCCAGGGAATGTGTGCTTTGCAAGACTTTCAAGGGAAGGAGACTCGCTCTTAGCTGTGCTTATCTTTGCTCCCGGGTGGTGTATATGGGAAACGGGCTGGTGACTGATGGAAGAACATCAAGTGGTATGGCTCTTTAACGACTGGTTTAGAGGTATCGAATGGTGGTCTATAACTGCAATCCCAGTACTGGGGAGGCTGAGGCAAGAAGATTGTGAGTTCCAGGCCACCCTAGGCTGCATAGTAAGAACCTGTCTCAAAAGCCAAACAAATAAAGAGTGACAAAAACAAATGAAAAAATAAACCAACCAACCAAACAAAAAAAATCCAAAACCTTGCGTGGGAATCTTTTTGCATTTTAGCAGTTAGTATGATCTGGTGCAGCATTGTGAGAGCCCGTCCCTAGAGAGCATCTAGCAAAGATAAGGGCAGAGTTTGGGTGCTCGTATCCTACCTGGGTGGACTGAATATGGATGCGAATCAAATACACTACCTGAATTCACCTCCCCCAGCTGGAGAAAGAGGAGAAGCTGGGTGAAGAAAATGCTGCTGCCCCTCGGTACTTGCTTCAGAAACCCCGGGAATACTGAGAAATCTGCCATCTGTCAGCAGTGCAGGCGGGCCACCTGGAAGATAATAAACATGCGGGGTGATGTGGGCAGCCCAGCGCGACTGAGATCTGCTCTTGTCTCACTTATTTGTTGTTTTCTGATTTTGGAGTTTCACATCAGGCCCGTGGCTTCTTTTAAACCCTGACGGGATGTGAGAACTGCTTCTAATTTTACCAGGCAATGTTGTTACCATTGGGCTTGTTGGAACTCACGGAGTTGTGAACGGACAGGACTGAAGGATCCCAGAGGAAGCCAAGTATTGTTTAAAGTCAGGAATGGAGCCATACATTGTGTGGGGGCCCAGTGTCACCCTCCACTGGATTAGGGACACGCCCCAGAGAATGGGAAATCTCTGAAGAATCTCAATGCAGCTTTATCTCCCTTCCTCTCCACCACGTGTATACAATTTTCTCTGCCCTGGAACATCAAGTTCATTGAACAGAGGAAAAGAGCTGTTTTTTTTCCAAAACAGAGTATATGTCTGGTAGCTGCCTGTCAACTTTTGGGACATTCTGGGACAGTTGCATCTATTCTGATCCCTTGGGTAGTACTTTCAGGGGCTTAGCTAGTCCCTTTCATTCTCAAATTTAGAGCATCTTTAGGCCCAACTGATGGAGGAAGGCCATCTGGCAAGCCCTTCTCCCTCCTGTGGAGACTCAGACTCAGCCCTCTCAAGGCTGTCTCCTCTAAGGCTGTCTCCTCTAAGTCCCCCTTGGGTTCTGTGCTAGTATCTAAGCCTACAGGCCAGTGAGTCTCATGTGGCCAACACATCTTGGAGTGCACACAGTCTCTCCACATAGCTTCTTTATTTAGTTGTGTAGCTGGATGGACCGCAATGTTTGTGCTTGAGCAATGGTAGGAACCAATGTCAGGGAAAAGTTTAAGCCTTCTATGGGTTGACAAGATGTTTTAGTTGCATGCAATAGTACATATCTATATCCCAGTATACAGAAGGCTGAGGCAAAGGGGTCACGAGTGTAAAGAGAGCCCGGGCTACCTAGCCAGACTCTGTCTCAAACATAGAAATGAAGAAATACTCTATAAATAAAAGTCACCACCTTCTCCCTCTCTCTCCACTTTCAAAACATCAGCCTCCTACTTTTTTCTAGAAACTATTTATCCCATCACAACAGTTCCCCCTGGGGAGGGGATATTCAGTGGGCTTTTCACTCTTCATCCCAACTCACGTTTCTACTCTGTCTTTTGTCACGGCTTAGTGACCCTCGTACAGCCTTTGCTTCCGCTGAGCACCAACCCCACTGTCTGCAAAACCACTGGTAAAAGACGTAAGATTGTACAGTAGGAAGGCTGCAGTCAGAGGAGAAGCAAGAAGGGATTGATGAGGGCCTCTCAGAGCGGCCTCTGGGCTAGAAGAACCCAGACCGGTAGGAGCACAGTAGTGTGGTGGGAAGTGCAGTGGTCTGAGAAGTCAATGTGCCGGGTCCTGGGCCTTTGGAGCTCAGACTCAAGTGTCGTGGAGGGAAGGCAGAGAAGCAAGTTGGGTCTACTCCATTTGTGTCCCAGACGGGTTCTTCAGAGGGAGGAGGGCACACAGCCCTCTGGAGCCAACCTGTCTGTTTTGATGGTTATAACTTAGTGGGATTATTAGTTGTGCAATAACTAACAAGACCAGAGGTCCTGCACAGAGATCAAAGCTCTGGAGGACAGTAAGACCTCTTGTCCTTTGTGGCTGATGACAGAAATGTGTATGTGCCTCCCCGTGGCAATTCTGACAAGTGGCAACCAGGCATCTGAAGCCACACTTCCTTTGTGTTTCTTAGACATCTTGTTTCCTTCCCTTCCTTTTGCACCTTAGTCCTGGGGACTGGTCATAGCTTAGAGCCCCCAAGAGAGCAAAGCCATGTGGGGCACAGCACCACTCAGATAGCACCTTGCAAAGCAGTGGGACCGACTGTATTTACGGGACCAGTTGGATGAGCTCCAATGTGAGGAATTAGCCAACTGTGTTAGGTGGTAGCATGAGTCCACTCAGGAGAGGACGCCGGGGCATTGGACAGGGAGCTTAATGAACTCTTGCTCTGGTTAGCCTAGAAGACGAGTCTGTTCTTTCCCAAGTGGCAAGCAAGTGGGGTGGTGTGTTCCAGAATTGCTAGAGGATCCACAGTCCTCTGTTGTCATTTCTCTATTGTGATAGACACACATGATCTCCATCACCAAAGCTACAGGAGAAGAGGTTGAAAATACAAGGAGCACATGCGCGCACACGCTGCCTCCCCCCATGCACATGCAACTCATGCATATGCCCACAGCAATAGCACTAACATAAATTGAACACTTCTTTATCAAACACTCACCTTTACCGTCAGTATCATTACTACTTTTACCAATAAACTCCAATTACAGGTAGGGAAAGCGAGGCATGTGGGGCACCTTAACACACAGCTGGTGGGTGGTAGAGTGATGTTTCTACCTCAGCTGTTTACGGTGCCTGTTTTCTCTCATCCAGCTTCCCACCAGCTGTGTTGTCTCAGGTCTGGCTTCAGCTTTTATGTGCATCAATAACCCGAAACCATAACTGTTGTTATGAATCTATTAAGAATCACCCAGCCTCGAGCAGTACTATCCCCCAGCTGCACTAGAGAGAGTAGATCACAAGGGATCCAGCTACAAGACCAATCAATCAGTGGATTGAAATTTTACTGCTAGTTAAAGCAACTTGAAGTGTCCCTAAGACTTCTTCGCTAGCATCCCCTCAGATGGGGGTCACAGGTACCTAGTTCCTGTTCAGTATTCAGGGGTATCTGCTGGATAGCCTTTCACTGGAAACCAGTGGTCTGGCGACTTCCTGAAGGGAATAGAAGACATTTTCCTAAAGTGACTTCGTGGGTGAAACTCCACACCCCTCCCCACCACTGCCTCGAGGTTCCTTTCCCACCTGTCCTTCAGCTAAAGGCTCTGACCCTTCCTGGAGTGCGGGTGCCCCCTAAGAGGAAACACTTTCTAGTTCCTGCCATTTGCACCAAGGTTGAAATGGGCTCCAGATTCTGATTCTGGTGGAGAAGTTTGGCCGGAGAAAGGAAGGAGCTAGATAGGTTGAATGTGGGGGTGAAAATGGGGACCTCAGTGAAGGGGCCTCGGACCTAGCTAAGCTGTGCTGGTGGGGACCAGAGTCTCTCTGGCTGCTGGGATTCCCTGGGATGTTCCTTTCTGAAGACACCAAGGATAAAGGGCACACTGCAGTATTGAAGCCCACCTCTCACCTCTTCTGCTTGGCATTTGCTGCTTTTACAAACCGCAGTTGGTGTGTTTCATCTCACCGTTACCCACATAAACTCCAAAGGGCAAATGAGCCTTAGGCACCTCCCGCCCCTTTCCCACTCCAGTGCTCACTACTGCTCGCTAGCCTACAATAGTGTGATTTTAGTTGGCCCATAAGAGGATTTCCACCCTCTTGTCTCTAGGGGCTGAGTTGCTTTAAGAAGGGAGTCCTGAAAGAATGAACCATTTTTATCTGCGAGCGGAAAAGAATGCATCAGAATCTTGCTTCCTCAGAGGGGCAAACCTGAATGGGCATCTCTCCTAAGACACCTCAACACCTAACAAAACCACCAGGATGAGACAATAAGAGCTTCTTTCTATGATAGGCTTCCCCGGGGGCCTCGCTCTGTTTTCTGCTGTTTCTAGAAGGTTCATACAGTTATTGCAAGGGAGCCACATACCTTTCAGGTAACAGCAAAAGATCCAAGTGGCAGACGGATGCTGACAATCTCACCTCCCTGTAAAGGAGATGACTATGGAGTATTAGTCCTTGATGCTTAAGACCCTTTCCACATGGACTGGTAGCTGAGCTCAGGAAGTGGGGGGTGCAGCTCATGAGTGACAGAAATACTCACCCACCTTCCACCTTAGGACATAAGCTATTGGTTCTGCCCTTTGTTATAAAAACCAGAATAGACAGAACAAAACGAGGAAGTCTCCGTCATATCCTGTCCCCGTGAGGAAAGTCACAAGTTAAATTCCCATAGAAAATGTTCCTCCAGGGTCTTAGAACGAGGCCAAAGGTACCTGAGAACTTTATTAGAACAGGCTGCATCTGCAGAGGCTAAGGGCAGAGGAAGAATGCCCAAGCTGGCTACCCAGGATTGCTGGATAGGTCAAGCTGGCTATCCAGGGGGCAGGACGGTTATCTCAGGTTAGCCTCTCTCTCTTCCCAGTCACATTGAAAGAGACAGAGACTGGACTGCAATCTCCATTAAAAGCTGAGAAGTGCTTTTGGACCCAGCTTCCACTTAACCCATCCTATCCCTTTGCAGGGAAACACCGGCAAGGAAATAGCCTGGGAACTTTGCCACAAAAGAGACTTACAACAGCTGCTCATATCCAGCTTGGAAACAGTGGGGGTCTAAACATTTCTCCAGTGAAGCAGAACTGCACATGGCACTGAGTGGGATAAAAGAGAGGCCAGCTAGGGGTGGAGAAGAATCTACTCCTCTCTTGAGTTTGTTACAGAAAGTGTGTCCGTCCTCTGCAAGGCTCTCCAGTCATTTGTGTCACCTCTCTCTGCACCTTCAACCGCCATCCTCACTTCTCCATTCCTCTCTCTTTGCCTTTCTCACCTCCTAATCTCACTGAGCAGGGAAGCAGAGCTGCCCATTACACCCACTGCCCATGCACAAGACATCCTGTCTGCCTCTTTTCTGCCAATCAGCACTCTTTCCCAAGATCCTGCTCAAAATTCCTGCCTCTGATGTGTGAACTTGACCTCTTCCTGTGTGCATACCTCTTCCTTCTCAGTCTTCATAAGGGGGTCTCTGAAACCACCATAGCCAGCAGAGTAATGGTCCACAGGAGGCAAGAAGGTAGTTTGTTTTAACACAACTAAGCAGCCCATGTTGGTTCAAACTTTGGGAGTGTTACCCCAAGTAGTTTTTTTTCGGGCATATTTAAGCACAGTTTGGTAAAAACTTTTCTGGTGATAATTAATTCAATCCTATGTGCACAATAAAGCACAAAATAAACTAAATGAAGATCAGACGTGACTACGTCGAAACTCTTTATAAAGTACACACAAAACCTTCAATAAAGATGAATTCTATAGACTGGGAAAAACAAACTTATGATAAGGGTCTGGGGGAAGCAGGGGGTGTCAGCCATGTAGATGGTGCAAAGGTCATCATGCTATTAACTATGTCTGCTCTCAACCTGCTAGGCAGCTAACAGGTTATGTATTTCTTCTTTTGAAGGAACAACCCTGTGTGTTTAACATTCCAGGTTCCCCTAGTGCTTATCTGTGAGCACAAGGACCTCTGTGCCTCCCATATCTCCCTCTTCTTTATTTTTTTAAAGGAAAAACGATGATTATAACAGAGGCTAAGATTGAATGCATTGCCTGCGTGGCTAGTATAAGTAACATAGTCAATCATAACAGAGTTCTAAGACTAGCTAACATTAACAGAGGACCTAGAAAAGGGGAGAGCAATATTAACCATGATGGCTACGCAAAGGTCGCTTGAGAGATTTTGTTTATCTCTTTATGCAAATCATTAATTTGACCATCAGTAGTATGAGAGAAATCTGACACATTAAAGCAACACATGACAAAAAATTGTTGACAATCAAAATTATGCTTGAGCAACAAATAATCTATAGTAGCTTTATTTTGTAAAACTGTGGCTCTCAATTTGATCATCTTTTAGTTGATTTCTGCTAGTATTTTTGCTATAATATTAGTAGTTTTACTAAACATACAAGCCTTTTTTTTATTTTCTTCTTTTTACATCCTAACCAAAGCTTCCCCTTCCTCCTCTCTTCCCAGTCCCCCATCTCTCACCCTGCCCCCAGCCACTCCTCCACTGTCTCTTTTCAGATTCAGGCAGGCATCCCATGGACATCAGCCAGCCATGGTACACCAAGTGCACTGAGACCAGGCACCCCTTCTTCTACCAAGGTTGAATGAGGCAATCAGACAGAAGGAATAGGTCCCAAAATCAGGCAGCAGAGTTAGAGACCCCTGCTCTCACAGCTAGGAGTCCCACATGAAGACCAAGTTACACAACTGTAACTTATATGCAGAGAGCCCAGGTCAGTCCCATGTAGGTTCCCTGGTTATCATATACAGGCCAGTTTTGAGACCTCTCTTTGTGTTCCAGTAATCATTCCTGGGACTGGTAATAAAAAAGCTAGTGTGGATGCAACCATCACAGGATCTAATAGATGTGAAAGAATCATCCCAACTTTGAGGGAGCGCTCTTAATTCCATTGATAGATTGCAAAGATTTATCGAACAAAATGGATGTAATGCGGCCTATCCCACATAAGCCTTTATAACTCACAGGAAAAGCAGTATATGTATCATTTTTCCAAAGGCAGTTGCTACCAGAGGGAAAGGTATGGCTAGAGGTAAAATTACAATAAGGAGGAATATAAGCACATTTAAAGCATAAGCATCATTATTTTAAAAAACACCATTGACAGGAATATCAGGGGAAGACCTATGGATACAGGTGTGGGTGGATTCTAATGCATATGAGTAAAAAAATTTAAGAGCCCAGGAATAGATGGGTCTCCTCTGATACAAAAAGATTATTCTTGTTGATTGCCATGTACCAAACAAAGCCAGAGGTTATTTTCTAAACCATTGGCAACAGATAGCACTATTCTAGGTACAGCAACATCAATACATCAGATACTCCTTTTTCATCTTCATACAACTATAATTTCCACTATCAGTTCTCTGAAGAGTATCTAATTATGCTAAAATCTGTATTATTGCATTTGGACTGACTAATTAGATTAGTCCAACCAAAATAGCCTCCATTCATGTGACTCAATATTCGTATAACGTCTTTTGTCCAGACAATTGGTCCCAAAGTATAAAAACAATCCTTAGCATGGCAAAACAACATCATAGTGTCTCCTATTACAGGAGTGCCTTTTATCACCCCTGATAAAAGGCATTTGGATTCTGCACTGATAAACTGAGAATTAACATGTAATATAGTCAGTAAACATAACAGCATCCTTCCTGTGTTAGTAGTGTTGTGTCCTTGTTGTCTCCCCAAGGTCTTGACTTGATGAGCAAAAGTCTTGATGTCTTCCCAAGTCATCAGCTTACTCTTCTCTCTGGTCATCTCCCTGGATGGGTTTGTCCTCTACCTTCACAGGCATCAGTGGTCTCTGGGATGTTCTCCTGGTCGGGTGCATCAGAGCAGAAGCCATCTGGGACTTCATTTATTTTGGGGGAAGAAACAAAAATAACCTCACCCTGATGTTAGAAGAACACCTGACCCTTCCTATCAATTAGTTTCTAGCCATTCAACATATATTTTAGGATATGCCTCTTTTAGGGCAAAAATTCTTTGAGGAAACAGCAGAAGTATTGTCCTTTAAAGTGAAAAAAAAATAAAGCTAGCATGATTAAATGTAGCATAGCACATGGAGATGTCAATAGGTTTATAGACTCACTTTTTTTTTCTCTCTCGAGACAGAGTTTCTCTCTGTAACCGTCTTGATTGTCCTGGAACTCACTCTGTAGGCCAGGCTGGCCCAAACTCGCAGAGATCCCTCTGCCTCTGCCTCCTGAGAGCTGGGATTAAAGGCGTGTGCCACCACCATTACCCTCCACCCTCCACCCCCACTCCCGGTAACTTGTTTTTCAGTCCCTTTTCTATTTTTAGAATTTGCTGTTTAAGTATTTGATGGTATCTTTCCACAATAGCTTATCCTTGTGGATTGTAAGGGATTCCAGTAATATGATTAATATTCCATAAATTGCAAAGTTTCTTAAAGCATTTTCTAGTATAAGCAGGACCATTATCTGTTTTTAGTTACAATGGGAGTCCTAGAAACAAAAAGGTGTATAATAAATAAATGATAATGGCATCCTAGGTTATTTCACCCCTGTGAGCAGAAGCAACAATCATATTTTTAAAAAAGCATCAAGTGTCAATGAACATAGCTTAAATGTCCAAATTCTGAGATACGAGTAATATTTTTTGTCTAATTTGATTAGGTTTTAATCCTCAAGGATTAATTCTGCCAGCAGAGGGCAGTAGTGTGAAAGAACAAGATGGTCTGTCCAGCTTCCTCAGGAAGTAAAATGATTGTACCTGTAAAGATTTGCATTTTGATAAAGTTCATGAGATTTTTGAATGCCCTGAATACAAAGTATTAGCGCCAAGGAGGGGGTCAGCACATCGGCTTGAGAAATAGGGGATGTTAATGGACCTGGTAGATTAGAATGAGCATGAACAAGAGTTATAAAAAAATGTTGACTCTGTTGTCTTACAGACATCTGAAGTAAAAGGAATAACTGTAAAATAACATTAGTAGTGAGGTTGTGTTTAAGTTTTGAAGTTTCTAAAAGAGAAACAGTTTGAGCACAATTTATAGAGTCAGTTAAAATATTCAGTGGCTGAGAAACATCTAATAACAGCTGATTGATTACAGCAAGTTCAGACTATTGAGCTGTACAACCAAGGGTTCGTACAATCTTCCTTTGTGGAGGGTGTTGGAATCTGTATATAAAAAATCAGCTCTTTGTCCTTATGAAAATCCATCTGTCAAAGCATTAAAACTAATCTCTGTAGGATTTTTAGAAGTAATTTTAGGTATCTAAATATAATGGGGTATCATCAAAAGATTTCTTTCATTTTTAAATTGATTCTTAGGGAAATACACCCCAATCTCACTCATTTCACAGTCCTTTCATGTCTGCCCTCTACCCTTGTAGCCTACCCTCACAAAAGAAAAATAATAATAATAATATTTCGCTCCTCCATCTTTCCCACCTCTCCATCACTTATTTCTTTGTTGTAGAGGCTGCAGTGGGTCACACAGTATACCAAACAGCCTTACTTGCAAATCTTCATTGCAATAAGTTGTTGATCTGGTTCAACACCTCTAACTTCCGGTACAACACTAATACTGAACCCTCACGGAAACTTCTCTTGGATATCCTGTTGTTGCCCCCTCATAGAGATCCTGTGACTGTGGTTCTATAGGACTGTTGTTTGTTTTTGTTCTTTTGGGTACTCGCCACCCAGCTCCCAAATAAATATGGAGACGTATTCTTACTTATGAATGCCTGGCCTTAGCTTGGCTTGTTTCTTGTCAGCTTTTCTTTCTTTTTTTTTTTTTTAAAGATTTATTTATTATTATGTATACAGTGTTCTGTTTGTATATATGTCTGCACGCCAGAAGAGGGCACCAGATCTCATTACAGATGGTTGTGAGCCACCATGTGGTTGCTGGGAATTGAACTCAAGACCTCTGGAAGATCAGTCAGGGCTCTTAACCTCTGAGCCATCTCCCCAGCCCTCTTGCCAGCTTTTCTTAACTAATTAGCTCATCTACCTTTTGCCTTTGGGTTTTTAATCTTTCTCTATTTCTGTATACCTTTCATTATTTCTTACTCTGTGGCTTGATGTGTAGCTGAATGGCTGGCCCCTGATGTTCTTCTCCTTCTTTTCTCCTTCCTCTTTCTTTCTTTTTCTTCCAGATTTCTCCTTCTATTTATTCTCTCTGCTGCCAGCACTACCTATCCTTTTCCCTGCCTTGCTATTGGCTGTTCAGCTCTTTATCAGACCATGAGGTATTTTAGACAGGCACAGTAACACAGCTTCACAGAGTTAAACAAATGGAACATAAAAAAAATGTAACACATCTTTGCATCATTAAATAAATGTTCCCCAGCACAAAGGTAACACATCTTAAAATAATATTCTACAACATAGAACCAGTCCCTTCACACTCTCCAACAGCTCATAGATGAGGTAGATGTTGGGGTGGGCCAACTCAAAGCCCTGGATGTAGGCCTGGTGGTAGCTTAATTGGTCAGTCTGGGTCTCCACTGGGATCACTCCCCTCAGATGAGGGTGAGGACCAGCTCTCCCACTGCAGCAGCAGGAGTGGTGGGGGGCAGTTCTCTGAGGGCTGTCAAAGGTTGGGACCAATTCTCCCATGTGCATATCGTTGGGGTCAGTTCTCCCAGAAGGGAGGACAGCTCTCCCACTGAGGCACCCTGCAAGGGGCAGGGCCAGTTTCTAGTGCCCTGGTCACTGGGGCCAGCTCTCCTGTGTGGTAAAATAACCCACAGACATCAACACAGACTCTGGCTGTGGTAGGACCATGGACCCAGACATGGCCTCGGCCACAGCTCAGGCCCAGACAACACCATGGCCCTGGATGGCGGCTTAGGTCACTCATATTGGTATGGTCCTGGAGACAGCATGGCCCTTGGACACCAAGTAGCCTCAGGTGGGGACCCAGACCCTGGGCATCAGCACAGCCTTTGGTGGTAACATGGGCCACAGACTTCAACACACCCCACCTGTGGTAGGGCCATAGACCCATACATGGAGCTTGGCTGCAGCTTGGGCCCAGGCATCACCATGGCCTTGGGTGGCAGCACAGGCCACCTAGATCAGTATGACCCTGGCAGTAGCTTGGCCCTCTGACATCAACATGGCCTCAGGTGGCAGCCCAGACCACTGTTTTCAAAAGGTCTTAAAAGAAGGTCTTTAGAACAATGTTTATCTGTAGATCCTGAGTAACATGCTAATGCTACTGGCCAGTTATTATCAGTGTGAAACAAATAATAACCCTGCATTTTATTTAGTGGCACAATGATTTCTATAGGCTCTTTACCAGTAAGTAGTTTAAGACCTGTCCTTCTTATCATTATCAAGTTTATGATTTCCTATCAATAAGGAGTTACAGATCATTTCATAGAATTATGACATGCATAAATTTCTATAATGTCATTGCTTTGTTGATATATAATTCCAGTAGATGAGGAGGAGGAAGGAAGGATAAGAATTGATAAGGAAGTAAGAGATTAATTCTATGAGCTTCCACTTTAGCCACAGCATTATTTAATAAACTAATAACTCACTCTGCTTCAGGCGTGATGTTTCTTATAGCATTTAACTGGAAATAGAACTTAAAAGCAACTTAAAGAACAGAGCCAAATACTTAGTGGTGATAGGCAGATAAGGACATACCCAATGACATGGCCCAAAATTCTTGTTAGTAGTTGAGGGTACATTGTTTGGGAAGTTTTAAGCTGAGAGGATGATGGCGAATTAGATGTTGAGTAATAATGTATCCCAAATAATTATAAGGTGGTTACCTCTGTATTTTACCCAAAACTATGTTGACATTTTACTCTTTTAGTTTATTTATCACAAAACTGATATACTCATTTAAGTATGGATTAGGCAAGCAGGAGAGGAGAATGCCTTTCCCAAGATCCTGCTTAAAATTATTACTTCTGATGGGCATTCTGATGGGCAAAATTCCTCTCCCTGTGTGCAAATCTCTTCTTCCTCAGTCTTTGACTTATCCCTTAATTTGAATTTTCATAAATGTCTCATCATGGGTACATTTGTAATTTTCTCTGAGTGACTGTCTTCTTTTCAAGCATCCGTATTCCTCCTGGAGTCTAGGGATCAATACTTCTTGACATATTGTCATAGACACTAGCAGAAACTCTTGCTAAGTTCCAGGGATCCCCTTGGATTGACATACAAAAGGGACTTTCATGAAGCAGACCTGAGTTTTGCTTTGTGCTACTTGGGTTTAATGATTTCTTATCCATCTCTCTCAGTGTGGATCTAAATTTACATTCCAAAATAAACCCAATTCAGTCCTCACATGTTATAAGTGTGTGCTCTTTTTATTTGAATTTACAAAGTTTTGACATTTTTTCCACATTTTGGTTTCTGTAAGCTTTGTCAGGGCGTTACCTTTTTCATGCTGTTCTTGACTGTTTTGGCACTGGCATTATATTAATCGAACAGCAGTTTTAACATTTTTATTCTGCTTTCCCAAATTTGACACAATTTGACACAAGGGTGTGTTTATTTCTCTCTTTAAATATTTGGTTGGTTTTGTTAATAAAATATTGTGACTTCGGTGCCTTCTATGAGGGAAGACTGACTCAATGTCCACTGGCTATGAGGCGTCTGTGTGGAAAGACTGACTTGATGTCCATTGGCTATGAGACATTTGTGAAACACTTTCTTTGACTTAGATTTGCACTGTATATTCTTGTATGAAGTTCTTGTTCTGCCACATTCAAGCATGCAGTTATTTCAAACAGTTTACCATGTAAATATCCACTTCACCTGTAGTGCCCTCCCCCCCCCTTGCTGTTCCCTGTGCAATATAATCACGCCATTTCCCTTGGTTTTGGTCTTTGGTGCTAGACGCTCATCCATATCAATAGTATTTTACATTTTTTCTTTTTGGGAGGCAGAGTCTTTGTAGCTCAGGCTGGCCTCAAGCTTCCTATATAGCTAAGGATTACCTAGAAAACTCCTAATCCTTCTGCATCTGCCTGTCAAGTGATGGGATGACAGATGTGCACCATCTGCCCGACATGTTAACAGTGCCTTGCACTGTCAAACTTTACTGTGTTTCTCTGCACTCCTTGTCATCTATTCAACTCTTTCTTGTGGCTTCCATCCTTCTTTCTCTTTCAGCTTGTTTCAAAGTAAATATTAATATTTTAAGATTTTAAAATGCTAACTACAAATATAAAAATACAATAAAAACAACATGCTTATGTATAACTACATGTACATTATCTATAGTCTTTCTACTTTTGTCTGTTAGTTGTTTTTGAGACAGCGTTTCTCTGTGTAGCCTTGGCTGTCCTGGAACTCGCTCTGTAGACCAGGCTGGCCTCCAATTCACAGAGACCTGCCTGCCTCTGCCTTCCGAATGCTGGAATTGAAGGCATACACCACCACCCTCTTTCCACTTCTAATATAAATACTTCTGGATATAACTTAGACTCAAAAATTACATTAGCTACTTTTCATAATCAATGCTATCACTTTGTTATAATTCATTCTAAGAATTTATAAACTACCATTATGATTTTAAGGACTGCTTTGGTTACTTTATGATTTTAAAATTATCCTCTGTTGTTGCCACTTAGCACAACTGAATGGTGATTACAGAGTACTGTCTGAATGACACCAATTCCTTGAAAATTCTTAAAAGCCGACACATGTAGCAGTAACTTGTAAATGTTTATAAATGTCCAGCCTGTGCTTCAAAATCATTTCTGAGGAACACCACTCTTATAAAATTGTCCACTAGGGCAAGCTTATTAATTTTAATTCACATTTCTATATTGTAACTTAGTCTATACATGCAACCAGTTTTAGGAAGAACCACACACAGCTTCCTTATATTTATGCCTTACTTGTTTTATATGTCTTATACATATATTAATATTATGATAGATCAATATTTTTTAAAAATTTATTCCATCCTGACCTCAGTTTCCTTTACCTCCTCTCCTCCCAGTTCCCCCCTGACCCACATCCATTTGCCCCCAGATCCACTCTTCCTCCTTTCCCTTCAGAAAAAAACAGGCCTCCCAGGAATATCAACTAAACACAGCATGTCAAGTTATAATAGAACCAGGCATATCCCCTGATATTAAGGCTGGACAAGGCAACCCAGTAGGAAGAAAAGGGTCCCCAAAGCAGGCAAAAGAGTCAGAGACAGCCCCCACTCTCACTGTTAGGTGTCCCACAAGAATACCAAGATACACAACCAAGAACACTTGCTCAACTATATTTATAGCAGCTTTATTCATAATAGCCAGAAAACAGAAACAACCTAGATGTCCATCAGCTGTTTATTGCTCAGCTATTTAAAAAAAAATCATGAAATTTGCAGGCAAATGGATGGAACTAGTAAAAATCATCCTGAGTGAGATAACCTAGACCCATAAAGACAAACATGGTATGTACTCACTTATAAGTGGCTATTAGATGTAAAAAAAAATCATGCTACAATCTGCAGGTCCAGGGAGACTAAGTAACAAGGAGAGCCCAAGGGGGGGACACATGGATCTCCCTGGGAAGGGGAAATAGAATAGATTTTGTGGGCAGATTAGGGGTAGGTGGGGATGGGAACAGGACTGATTAGGTAGGGTGAGGGGTGGAGAGAGAGAGAGAACTGGAAGAGACAACTGGAATTGTGTGACATTTCAGAGGTGAGGTAGAAACCTAGTGCAATGGAAACTCCCAGGAATCTGTGAGGGTGACCATAGCAGGACTCCTAGTAATGGGGCCATCTGAACTGGCCATCTTCTGTAACCAGGCAAGGCTTCCAGTAGAGGGACTGGAACACCAACCCAGCCACAAAACTTTGACCTACAATTAGCCCCATCTGCAAGATGTGCTGGGGCATTAGAGGTGCAGGACTTGTAGTAGCAGTCAATCAATGACTGGTCCAATTTGAGACCCATGCCATGAGAGGGAGCCCATGCCTGACACTTCTTGGAGGGTTAGGAACCAGAGTCTGTGTAGCCCAGAGATCAAGAGTAGAAGCAAATGTGATTGGAAGGTGTGTGTGGGAAGTCTGTAGCTGAAAGTTTTTCTGTGTCCAACTTGGTCTGCAGCCACTCAGAACCAAGTAAACACACAGAGGCTTATATCAATTAAAACTGCTTGGTCATTAGCTCAGGCTAACTACTGACTAGCTCTTATACTTAAACTCAGCCCATTTCTGTTAATCTGTATGTTGCCACATGTTCCGTGGCTTCACCTGCGTGCCATTATGTGCTGCTCCCTGGACAGCAGGCTGGCATCCACTGACTCAGCCTTCCTCTTCCCCTTTTTTGTCTAATAAAAATAACTTCTATCAATTTCAGTGTTATCTGGTTTTATGTTGAGGTCTTTGACCTACTTGGACTTGAATTTTGTGCAGGGTAATAAGTATGGATCTATTTGCATTCTTCTACATGCAAACATCCAGTTAGAACAGTACCATCTGTTGAAGATGCTTTCTTTTCCACTGTCTATTTCTGGCATCTTTGTAAAAAAAAAAAATCAAGTATCCATAGGTGTGTGGATTTATGTCAGGGTCTTTGATTTGATTCCATTGATCCTCATGTCTGTTTTTCTGCATGGTTTTTATTACTATTTCTCTGTAGTACAGCTTGAAATCAGGGATGATGATACTGAGAAGAAAGTATATTCTTTTGTGTTTGGGTAAAATGTTCTGTAGATTATCTATTAGGCCCATTTGGTTCATAATGTCTGCTAACTTCAGTATTTCTCTATTTAGTTTTTGCCTGGATGACCTGCCCATTGGTGAGAGTAGGGTATTGAAGTATCAATATGTGAGGGCCAATGTATGTTTTAAGCTTTGGTGGTATTTCCTTTGTAAATGTTGGTGCTCTTGTGTTTGGAGCATAGAAGTTAAGAATTGAAAAATCATCTTGGTTGACTTGCCTTTAATGCGTATGAAGTGTCCTTCTCTGTCTCTTTTGATTAGCTTTGGTTTAAATCTATTTTGTTAGATAGTAGAATGGCTATAGAAGCTTGTTTCTTAGGTCCATTTGCTTGGAAAATCTTTTTCCAACCCTTTGAAGAGGCAATGTCTATCTGTGATATTGACGTGTGTTTCTTGTATGCAACAGATGGATGGATCCTGGTTTCACATCCATTCTGTTAGTCTGTGTCTTTTTATTGGGAAATTGAGTCCATTGCTATTAAGAGATATCAATGACCAATGATTGCCAATTCCTGTTATTATGCTGCTGCTGCTGGTGGTGGTGGTGGTGTGTGTATGTGTTTTCCTTCTTAGGGTTTTGCTGGTGTGAGATTATCTATTGCCTGTATTTTTATGGGTGTAGTTAACCTCCTTGGAGTTTTCCTTTTATTATTTTCTGTGTGGCTGGATTTGTGGACAGATACTTTTTAAAATTGACTTTATTATGGAATATCTTGTTTTCTCCATCTATGGTGATTGAAAGTTTTGCTGGATACAGGAATCTGAGTTGGCATCTGTGTTCTCTTAGAGTCTGCAGAACATCTGTCTAGGACATTCTGGCTTTTAAAGTCTCCATTTAGATGCTGGGTATAATTCCTACAGGTCTGTCTTTATATGTTACTTGGCCTTTTCCTTTGCAGCTTTTAGTATTCTTTCTTTGTTCTGTATGTTTAGTGTTTTGATTATTATGTGGCAAGGGGACTTTCTTTTCTGATTCCTTCTATTTGGTGTTCTGTATGATTCTTGTACCTTTATAGACATACCCTTCTTCAGATTAGGGAAATTTTCTTTTATTATTTTGTTAAAAAATATTTTCTAGGCCTTTGAGCAAGGATTCTTCTTCTTTTACTTCCTTTATTCTTAGGTTTGATCTTCTCATGGTGTCCCAGATTTCCTGGATATTTTGTATCAGGGTTTTTTTTAGATTTAATATTTTCTTTGACAGATGTATTTGTTTCTTCTATTGTTTCTTCAACACCTGAGATTCTTTTTTCCATCTCATGTATTCTGCTGGCAATACTTGCATCTGTAGTTCCTGTTCACTTACCAAGATTTTCCAGTCCAGAATTCCCTCAGTTCATTGTCCCTATTTCCATTTTCAGGTCTTGAACAGTTTTTTTCATTTCCTTCAACAGATTTCTCTTTTCTTGTCTTCCTTCAAGGGATTTATTCATTTCCTCCAGTTGTTTATTTGTAGTTTCCTAGATGTATTTAAGGGATTTGTTCATTTCCTCTTTAAGGGCCTCTAGCATCTTTACAGAGGTGCTTTTAAGGTTGTTTTCTTGTACTCCAGCTGTGTTGGAATATTCAGGGATTACTGTAGTAGAATGGCTGAGATCTGCTGGTGACATACTGCCCTGGCTGTTGTTGATTGTGCTCTTACAGTGGCATTTAGGATCTGGGTTTGTGGTGATTATAAGTCTAGGTGCCAGTTTCTGAGTTTGTCTTTGTTGGATGGGGGTTTTGCTCCCTGGTTTCCTTGCTGGTCTTCTTGCTGGAGTGACCTGTAGTAGAGTAGAGGGTCTCCACCCAAGTTGGGAGCTAGAGCTCTGACAACCGGAGTGGCCTCTGGCTAGCTGAGGGTCCTCTGGGGATCTGAGTGCTGGAGTGGCCTCTGGTGGAGCAGGGGGTTTTGGCTGGAGGAGGTGCAGGCAGGATAGATAGGGTGAAGAGGGGAGGAGGGGCTGTTGGGGTTAGGCTGGGCAGGTTCTGGGGGAGTGTTGGTGGCCCTTGAGTGGGGGTGGGGGGCTTACCTGGGAATCTGAGTGCTGGCATGGTCTCTGGTTGAGATCAATATTTTTCAATGTTAATTTTTCATGGTGAATGAACTCTTTTGTTTGTGAAATAAATATACTGATAGCAGTGCTTTTTCTTCCTTAAATCTTTTTCTTTTCCAGACACATACATATTATGGTTCTCCTCTGAAAGAAAAAAGAAATAAAAAGGAAAGGATAGGAAACATAACTGCTCCTAGGTTTAGTGGAAGACAAAGTTTATTATAGATATGTGAGAGAATATAGCCAGAGGCAGGGACATCTGGGAGAGTCTAGAGTGGGCATGACCCTGAGCTGTGCCATGTGGGGAGAGGAGTAGAGAGAGGGAAAAGAGGACCAGGTACAGCAGCCAGGAGGCCCAAAAGTACAAAGAAAGTAGGCAACCAAAATGGTTGGATTATATAGGGAAGAGCAACCCAGCCCCTAGGCTGGAGAGCTCAGGGTAGGGCTTGGGTATGCCAGCCAGGAGGGCCCTGTAATAGGTAGGGACTGAGGGATGTAGGGAGAACCTGGCAGCCAGGTCAGCTTTGATATGTTAAATAGACACCTCAGCCATTGGTACCAGGCTGGAAACCTAACAGTCAATATGTGTCTTTAACGGTTCTCCTTTTCCAGGGAACAGTTGTCTTCTCTGTGGGGAGATGGACTTGGTGTCCATTGGTTATAAGACACTTATGAAATACTTTCCTGACTTAGATTTGTATTTGGTCCTCATCCTCCTTTCACAACTTCCCTGCTAGTCCATCTCGTGGATCAGGCTGGGGTGCTGAATGGAGTGTCATACATTCTCCAGAGCCATGAGAGAGGACTCCACATGAAACAGGCCTTGCATGTCTTTACTCAACAGCAGATTCTGGGAGTAAACTATTTGCATCTTTCCACTTCACTGAGGGCTGAGGGAACCGTCTTGAAGTCTCACGGAGTAGCAGAATGTCACCATCGATAGAAAACAGAGGAGCTGAGTCAAGTTCTAGAGAGAAAACACACAGAAAGGAATGGCAGAGCCTTTTCTAAATTGGAAGTCAACTGTGAAATGCATTCTGTTGTGGAAGGTGCAAACTGCAGAAGCCATGACTGAGTTAGCACGAGGGTGAGAATGACCAGCCATGACTTCCTGCAAGTGGCATTTGCACCCTGCTATGTCAAATCAATTGTTTTTTTAAGATGAGTGGACAAGAATGAGAAGTATGCCAGGCAGAAGCACACATGTGTAATGTCATGGGAGGGTAGCATCTATATGACCACATGTTTTGTCTATGACATCACCACAAAGAGAAGCAAAATTCCATGTGCTTTTCTGTGATTCCTCAGGGTATTGGCAGCACAAAAGTCAGATAAATATTTGCTGAGCAGATAAACGAGTGAAAGAATAATAGTATAAACACTAAGAAAATGAGTCTGTATAAGATTCATGTCTCCCTGCTCCTCTGCCTAAGTAAGACTATTAAACCCTGTAAATAACAGAAGTGTTCTGGCAGGTAGAAAAGGGAATCAACTGAAGAAAGGGAACTGAAAAATCTTATGTTTACCTTCAACCTAGCAACAGATGGTGGCCGGAGTAGCCCCACCTCTTACCAGGATAACTGACAGCAGGCAGAGCGGGTGGATTCCCCCTGCTCTCCAGCTTCAAGGCAAGGGGAAATGACTTTGAAAAGGACAGATCTAAAGTTGATGAGTTCCCACTAGTTTGGTTTGGTTGTCTCTGACGTTTCCCCATCATGATCCTGATGCACTTGCTCATAGAATCCCTCTTCTCTCTCTTTGACTAGACTCCTGGAGCTCAGCCTGGTGCTTGGCTGTGGATCTCTGCATCTGCTTCCATCAGTTACTGGATGAAGGCTCTATGATGACAGGGTATTCACCAATCTGATTACCTGGGTAGGCCAATTCAGGCACCCTCTCCACTATTGCTAGTAGTCTAAGCTGGGTCATCCTTGTAGATTTCTGGGAACTTCCCTAGCACCCAATTTTTCCCTATCCCCATGATGTCTCCCTCTATCATGGTATCTCTTTCTTTGCTCTCCCACTCCAACATCTCCTTGGAACTGGACTAGGCCCTCAGTTGTGTAGCTTGATCTGCTTAAGGGGCCCCCGGAAGTAGGATCAAGATCCATTCTTGGTGCATGAGCTGGCTTTTTGGAGCCCATTACCTATGGTGGGACACCTCGCACAGCCTTGATGCAGGGGGAGGAGCTTGGACCTACCTCTACTGAATGGACCAGGCTCTGCTGACTCCCCATGGAAGCCATACCTTGTTGGAGGAGGGAATGGGGGATGAGTTGGGGGCGGGGCTGGAGGGGTTGGAGGAGGGAAGAGAGGGGGGTCTGTGGTTGGTATGTAAAATGAATAAAAAATTCCTTAGTAAAGAGAGAGAGAGAAAGAGAGAGGGAGGGAGGGAGGGAGGGAGGAGGAGGAAGGAAGGAAGGAAGGAAGGAAGGAAGGAAGGAAGGAAGGAAGGAAGGAAGGAAGGAAGGAAGGAAGGAAGGACAGGTAGGTAGATGCTGGCCTGTGCTTCCAGTAGTATGGTACCTATTAGTTGGACTCTTCAATGGCAAGAAAGCCACGTTCTAAATCTTGGCATGGGGAAATTGTGGGAACTTGGGCTGTAACCTGATAGGAGAGTCAGTCAACAGTATTAACCATAGTTCACAAATGAAATCCCCAATCCTCCCTGCATTCTTAGCCTTTTTGAGGTTTGGGGTTTTTATAAACTTAGTAACATTTACAGAGATGGGTCCTTGACTTTTTTCTCTAATGCTGATTCTTATTTTGTCTTAAAGTTAATAGTTTAATTCCCTGAGGGCAGCATTCTTTCTCCTGTCTCAGTGGTCCCTAGAGTAAAGAGAGGATGTCTTGCTGTGGGCCCCCCATGCCTGGCTGGACTGGTGCTTCTCAAGGTGGATTGGACAGATCCTAAGACTGAGTATCAGCCTTGGTGGCTCCGCCGAGATCCTGGAGCAAACCACTCCGTCCAGGGCACGCCTCTTGTTGCCATGATCAGAATTCTCATGCTGCTGATTCCGGTGACTGTCCTGGAGTGATACCACATGCAGGGCTCCTGTCACCTCCCTGTCCTTAGGAGCCTATATCTCTTAGCCACATGTGTCATACCCTGTCCTTAGGAGCCTATATCTCTTAGCCACATGTGTCATACCCTGTCCT